TTTTTATTTTTTTTTTGCTCATATAGAAAATGTTAGCATCCTTAGGTCCCGCTATTTTTTTTTGTTTTTTTCGCAAATTCGTTACTTAATTCCCTTGTTAATGTAACAATATATTTTTTTTTTTTTTTTTATCTAGCTGGCTATCTATTTAGTGTTAGACAGAGCCGCAACGACTGTATAACATTATCTGTTTATTTGAGTTTGTTGTGTGCCCCGTGTGTTTTATCAAAGTGACAACTATTTTTATAGAATTAAGATAAACTCTTAATTAGGCACAAACTGGCGCAGGCGTGAAACCAAGGCCGCACTCCGGAATTATGTGCGGGTCCCGAGTCCCGGGTCTCTGGTCCGGACATCTGTTGCTTTCTGTTATTGACATTGTTGTTGTTGCTGTTGTTGTTGTCGTTGCTGTTTTTATCGCTAATGTCGGCGATATTGCTCATGGCGTACGTTTGGTAAATGAGTTTTTGCTGCCCAACGCTATCAGCAGCAGCAAAAGCAACCCGCATGAAAATTACCGACCCACACGCATTAATTTATATAAAATACATGTACATATATAAATTGTATATATGTGTAAGTTATTGCATAGTTAACACACAAACTGCATTAAGACAGGCTACACAGATGAAGCACCAAGAAATGTTGCCTACTTATTTGGGCAAAGCCTTTTGGTATTTCGCCAAAAAGTGTTGCCTACTTATTGGGGCAAGTGTTTTATTTAGTTGCCCTCGTTGCTTGTTGCGCTGCCAGCTGTCGTTGTTAAATGTCAGCAATTCGCTGAGCTCACTTTAATTAAATAGCTGCTCATCATTGTTATCATGAGCAGCATCAGCAGCAGCAGGAGCAGCAGGAGCTACAGCCCACGCATATTTTGCATTGCAATTTCACTTTGATTTCCATTTCCATTTTCAATTTGCATTTTTCTTTGTTTGCTTGGCTTAATTAGAAATTCTATCCGCTGCTTGCCACTGGACGCTCTCACTCTCTCTCTATCTCTATCTCTCTCTCTATCTCTATCTCTCTATCTCTATCTTGTCTGTGAGCGCGGCATGGGCCAATTGCAATTTCAATTTCACTCCGAATGCTTTGCAATATGGCATTTCGATTGAGATTTCCAGCTCCAGTCTATCTGTCCATCTCTGAGTATTTTTTTGTTCAATTCTTTTGCTGTTTAACAATTGCGCTGCAGCGCAAAGGTCAAAGTCAAAGAGAATTGTGAATTTCCAACAAACTGGCACACTCAAATGCATGCACACACACACACCGACATATATGAATATGCTTCGTTTCCCTGTATATTGTGCTGCGCATCGGCTCGCATTTCATGTTCCGCATCCTGGGAACTCGACGCTCTTATATTTTCAGCTTTCAGCTTGCTTGAAGATGCCTCTTCGCACCACAGTCAAGCATTATAAATTTTTGCTTTGATATGTTCGCCCCTGAATGCGAGACTTACGGTTCCCCTGGCAAAGCCCCCAACATGCACGCACACACACACACACACACACACGCATACACACACATTAGGATTATTTATTGATATCTATTTTCTGTGAAAAAAATATGCTTTCTATAAGCGTCATATGTCTCGATTGACTGCCGCAACGTCAACAGGCGCACACGCAGCTTAAAAGTTCCATTCCCCTTCTCGATGGCAGGTTACAGGCTTACCTACCGCCCCGCTCCCACCCTCTTTCAGAACAGGCAAACAGACGCTCAACGCACACATTTTTGAAAGAAAAACCAAACAGGCATTATGTCATGAGCACATATGCAATATATTCTTTGTGATGCTTCTCAGCCAGCGAACCAACTCTGAATTAAGCTAAGCTCAGCTGGCTGCCTATCTGTGTGTGTGTGTGTGGGTGTATGTGTATCTGTATTGTATTGCCTAGTAAACAAACGCCCACTTGCAATTGGCAGCGCATCTTCTTTGCTCAATTATGCTGCCCATTGACTGCTCATTCATAAAAGTTTTACGCACTCTGGATTATGGCTGGTGGCTAGGCTAGCTTTATTGCCTCGGCTAGCCAGGAGCAGCGCCAAAGTCCGATGCTAATGAATGCTTTGAGCCGTATCGCAGTCTCAGTCATGAATCTTTGATGATGTTTCTTCGCCAAACTAACAAATCTATTTCATATTTCCCACTCCAAAGTCAACTCAAAGCACTCAGATTCTAGCTTGATCCGTGGTCTTAACAACTCTGAGGCGCAAGAGAAAAATGAATTTTAAATACGCAGCAGTCAGGCGCTGTCCGAACTTTAATTACCAACAACTTTTGCTCAGCTTTCGCTGGCTTAATCAACATGTAAATGAGAAAATGTTGCGGCTGCTGTAGGTTTTCTTCGATATAGATGCTGTGTGTATCAAACAAAAGCTCTGCTTGGCAGTGGCGTAGAGTGGGTTGGGGGGAGGGAGGTGTGGCACCTAACCACCCAATGAATCGCCCAATTAACAGCTTTTTTGGTGTACCTTCAATTAATTTTACTTTTATATAAGCGGACAATCAACAGCTTTTTGTTGACCTCTTTTTTAATTAATTAATTTATTTATATATGTTTTTATTTT